CCTTAGCCGGTTGAGCCATAGGCGCTGAGCCCAACTCTAAGATCTTAACAAGCTTAGATTGTAACTTACTGTCTTTGACTTGAGGTACTCTGAAAAACCAAACCCAGTCATCCACCAGGGGTACTAAAACAAGTTGAAGAATTCTGTAAGTAGAGGTTGGAATGCTAGATGAAATATGGCACACGTCTTTAATTTTTTTTTTCTTTGAGACAGATTCTCACTTTCTGTGTGGCCGTCAGTAGAGTGCAGTGGCTTCACAGCTCACAGCAACCTCAAACTCTTGGACTTAAGCAATTCTCTTGCTTCAGCTTCCCAAGTAGCTGGAACTAAAGGTGCCTGCTTTAACACTCAGCTATTTTTTGTTGCAGTTGTCATTGTTGTTTAGCAGGCCCAAGCTGGGTTTGAACCCACCTGCCTAGGTGTATGTGGCCAGCATCCTGACCACTGAAGTACAGGCACCAAGCCGACACACATCTTGATAAAGCAAAGCCTCTGGTGAGAATTTTGCCTAGGTACCCCCAAAGTTTATTATAATACTCATCTAAAAGAGGAGACTTAGTATTATTTTTGCTGCTCTTTCCTCTTCAGACTTTTACTTACAGCTTTGTAATAAGATACTATGTATAAGAGAGAAACATAATGTATTTTCCTGTTTAGTCTCACAGAGAAATGGGAACATGTCATACAAAGAGGGCATCTTGTAATTCTTATGAATTACGTTCTAGAAACTGTATTTTTTTATTAAACCTTATACTAAGAGCATCTACCAGAAATAGAAATGTCTTCCTTCTTAAAAGGTAAAAAACAAAGCTCCAGCTGAAGTCCAGATAACTGCTGAGCAGCTCTTAAGAGAAGCTAAAGAGAGGGAACTTGAGCTCCTTCCACCTCCACCTCAGCAGAAGATCACAGATGAAGAAGAACTAAACGATTACAAACTAAGGAAAAGGAAGGTCGGTCAGTGTGGTAGCTTTCACTCTGTTAATTGTTAAGAATTATAGGTCAGAGTTGGGAAAGTTCTTATCCGTTAGTGTCTACAGGGTAAGATAAGGGTGATGTTTCTAGCCACGTGAGTCATTTAACTTCTGGTTACCAGATACTGCCTAACCACATTTGGCTAAGCTATGTAAAATATGCTATAAGTTGTCTGCTTAAAGCATAAGTAAATTGAGACATTGTTTTTTGGTGCTAAATCAAAGATGAGAGGGAGTTTAATAGGTAGAACATGGACACGGGAGGAGGGTGTACTTAGCAAGGCTGAGTCGTGCGTGTCCTCTCTGTACTGCCTTCTGTCAGGAGTGGGACCTGGGAAGGACCGTGAGAAGACTCTGGGATCTGAGTTGACCTCCTCTTTCTAGAATGTGAGGTTATTTTAAACTAGAAATTCTGTTGTATCTATTCATTTGTTATTCTCAATGAGTTATGTATGAAATTCTGAGAATTACCCAAAGGATTTAAATAATAATCAAAAAAAATTCTTTTTTATTTAGGACCAAGTGTAGAGTATGATAATGTGTCAGTTGTCATGGACAACAGGAGAAAATGTCAATAATTCTATAATTCTTTGTATCTAAAGTTTCCTCCTTGTTCACTTGCAAGACTTTAAAGAAACTCCTGCAATTATAACCTTCTGCAGTGGGCTTCTTAGTATTCAGGGCCTCCAGGATGTTATTTTTCTTACATAAAAACCAAATGAGTAACCTTTTTAGGACAAGACTTTTATTAGGCAAGAATGAAGTCATTTTTAGTCAATTTTCCTTTTATTTGACATCTTTGGCTATCTTCTAGACTTTTGAAGATAACATACGAAAAAACAGGACTGTGATTAGTAACTGGATAAAATACGCCCAATGGGAAGAAAGTCTGAAGGAGATTCAGAGGTAAAATTGCTGAGACTGTAATTGCTGAGAAAGAGTGTGCCTCTGGTTTTAATTTTCAACTTTTGTTCCTTGGACTCCTAGGGTTTCTTTGAGGGGTCTTAGGAGCACCGTGGGAACGAGAGGAGTGGCAGGAGGAGGCTCTCTGGATGGGTTTTCTGCCAGCACACCTGTAGCTAGAGAGGAGCAGTTTCATCTGCTTTCCATATATTGAGATTTTGTAAAAATTATAGTGTTCAGCCAAAAACAAGTGGCACACTAGATACAAACTGTGGTCTGGCCCTTCCTGTTGTCCTACTTTTTTTCTTCGCCTTTACTTCCCCCCCACACCCCTTTCTCTGAACACGTTATATGTCTTTACCGTGAGGCTTGGCCGTTCTCTCTGTCTGGAACGAGCACCTCTCCCTACCAACCGTGGCATCTTTGTAAACTGGAATTTTCCTCAAGTTCCCAATTCTGGAGTTACCTAGCTTTTTCCACCAGACATTTTCATTTCTTCCTCTCTGCTTCTTGCTTCTTGTGTAGGTCTTGACTATAATATATTCAGCAATGCATTATAATTTTTGCATGCAAGTCTGTCTTTGTATAAGACTTTGGAAGGGGCTCGGCGCCTGTGGCTCAAGCAGCTAAGGTGCTAGCCACATACAGCTGAGTTTGGCGGGTTCAAATCCAGCCCGGGCCCGCCAAACAACAATGACGGCTGCAACCAAAAAATAGCCAGGCGTTGTGGCGGGCGCCTATGGTCCCAGCTACTTGGGAGGTGGAGGCAGGAAAATCGCTTGAGCCCAGGAGTTGGAGGTTGCTGTGAGCTGTGATGCCAGGGCACTCTACCCAGGGTGACAGCTTGAGGCTCTGTCTCAAAAAAAAAAAAAAGACTTTGGAAGGTACTTGAGAATATTATATCATTTCATTTTTTTAAGCTCACACCTGGCTCATAGTAGACATCCAGTAAAACAGTAGGCCGTTGCAGATAGTTTGAAGTAATTGCTACATATGTTATAGATAACTACTTTTGATACCCTCCAAATCTTGCTTCTTAAGGGCTCGATCCATATACGAGCGTGCTTTAGATGTAGACTATCGAAACATTACT